TATTTCAACATTTATCACAGTTTCGCCGTCTTCTTCCTCTGAGAAGTCATGTCACAAACTTTCACCATATCTGGGGACCGCAGTGTTTTGAGCGCCGACTTCTACCCACCTATTGAACTCGATACAAAAAAATCCTATGGTTTGGGATTGCATGGTTTCTACTCATATAACTCCATACTCAATATAGATGAGAAAAATAACCGATTGGACTTTTGGGCTGTGTTAGGAGCTAAAACCACCCACAAAATAGTCCACATACCACCTGGCGCCTATGAAATAGAGGAAATCAATAAAGCTCTACAAAAGGCTATAGCGTGCACAATACCGCTCGATGGGCGAAATATTGATGATATATTTTTTCTCCATGCTAATAATAACACCCTAAAATGTGAAATGAAATGTGTGTACAAGGTGGATTTCACACCTGCGACTTCCATAGCCGGAGTGTTGGGATTTGAAGCCAAGAAATACCCACCTAATATATTGCATGAATCCACGTTGCCTGTGAATATAATAAAGGTTCGTCTCTTGAGGGTGGACTGCAATATTACCACAGGAGCATTCTTCAATGGTGAGGAGGTTCATACACTATATGAGTTCGATGTTGATGTGGAGCCTGGGTATAAGCTATCAAAAGAGCCGCAAAATATCATATATTTACCCATCAGCCCGACTGGGCGTCAGTTCATCGACAACATTACACTGAGAATATTGGATGATAACGGTCTTTTAGTCGATTTTCGAGGAGAAAAAATCATCGTTAAGCTAGAACTGAAACAACTCGCTCATTAGGCAGACACCATCAAAGGAATGAAATGGGGTTTTGTTTTGGGAACCAATCAAAACGCATGCAACCGACTAGCTCCGATACCATTCAGCGGAATATCAATAAGAAGGAGAGAAAACGTGGTAGTGGATTCATTCGAGCAGAACTTCCCGAACGTGAAAGACATAGATTGTCTGCGAGCGACAAATATTTTTTGAAGTCAATTGGTCTGAAGTTACGATAACCAGCTGCAAGATGGTTGCAACAGCCTCTACTAGCCCCCAATTGGACGTGTTTGATGAACCAATTTTAGATCATTCACTGATGAGCCTACATGAGCACACATTGATTGATTGATTGATTGATTGATTAATGGCAGAATGATCAGTCAGGGTTTGAAGCCCAAAACACTGCAGCCTTTGGGCCTATTGTATTCCTGATCATGCTGTTGACTCAGGTGAACAGGTTCGCTACCTTGATGAGGTTTAGCAGCCTCTTCACCAGATCATTCTTTGAAAATGCCTCTTGAGAGTTTACTGCTCCCAGAAGGTTGTATCTCCAACGCGCTAGTGCTTCGCACTCCAGTATTACATGGGTGGCAGTTTCCTCCTCCTCATTGCATAGTCTGCATATGGGTTCGTCTGTATAGATGCCCATTTGATGCATATGTTTCCTCAAGGGGCAGTGACCGGTTATTAGTCCCGTCACTTGTTTGATCTGACTTCTGTTTAGGCTCAGAATGTCGTTAGTCACTGTTTTGGACAGTGTTCCAACCATCAGTTTACTGTGTCTTTGTCCTGGGACATTGTTCCAGTATGCCTGATGTCTTTCTTGCATCCACCTTGCCAGCCAGCCGCGTATTGAGGTTTTGGGGATACCGAACACAGGTTCCGGCCCCATAAACAACGTCGCAGACCCCTGCCGGGCAAGAGCGTCAGCTGCTTCATTGCCTTCAATTCCCTTATGCCCTGGCACCCATTGAAGAGTTACCTTGTTTTGGTTAGCCAGGGTTAGCAGGCTTTGAAGGCAATCCCAGACCAATTTTGATCTGATTTTATTGCATGTTAGAGATTGAATGGCCGCCTGACTATCTGAGCATATGAGGATTTGTTTACCTCTGTATCCTCTTACTATATTCTCTCTCAGGCATGCCTCAATAGCATGCACCTCTGCCTGGAATACTGAAGCATACCTCCCCAAGGAAGCACACATCCTGGTTCTGGGTCTATCTCCATATATTCCGGCTCCCGTGCCCTCATCAGTCTTAGAACCGTCAGTGTACCATACTAACGTGCCTTCCCGACAGTTAGTCAAGACCCTTTCATCCCAGTAGAGCTGAGTGTTGAAGGGTCTGTAATAGTTATTTCTAGGCAGCATTTTGTCCCTTCCCATATCCATTAGTGGGCTTGAAACTTGGCTGATTATTTTTGTATGTCCCAGGGAGTCACCCCGAGCATACCAGTTGCCGGTACACTCCAGTCTGTATGCCCCCATCCTCGCTTCCGCCCTGATGAAGATTTCAAGAGGTGGAATATTGAGTATGGTTTCCATAGCAGCGGTAGGAGTGCTGCGCATAGCACCTGTGATGCAGAGACAAGCTAATCTCTGGAGTTTTGAAAGCTCCATTATAGCTGATCTCTGTTCAGTCTTAGGCCACCAGACAAGCGATCCATACACAATCATTGGTCTCACCACAGCAGTATACAGCCAATGTACCATGCGTGGTTTCAGTCCCCATGTGTTACCAATCGCTCTCCGAGAAGCCATTAGTGCCATTTTGCCTTTGCTGACAGTTTTTCGCAGTTGAGTATTCCAGGTTAGCCTAGCATCTAGGGTTACTCCCAGATACTTAACCTCCTGTGTCATACTTAGCTGTGTGTCAAAAAGTCTGGGAACTTTTAGTTTGTCCAGTTTCTTCTTTTTCGTGAAGGCCACAAGTGCAGTTTTACTAGGATTGACCCTGAGGTCTGCCTTTCTGCACCAGCCCTCTACTATCTTCAGGGCTCTCTGCATCAAGTCTGAAATAATTTCAGGATGCTGCCCCTCTACTAGAATGACAACATCATCTGCATACCCCTGTGAGTAAATTCCTACATTGTTTAGTTTTTTCAGGAGTTCGTCAATAACCAGATCCCACAGCAGGGGAGAAAGAACTCCTCCCTGTGGGCAACCCCTAGAAATCGTCACCTCCATGGTTTCACCAAGCAATGTGGATTCCGCTGTTCTGTTGTGTAGCATGTTTTTTATCCACCGACATGTGGTGTCTTCCACGCCACGCTCAACAACCGCTGCTACCATGGATATGAAGGGTGTGTGGTCGAATGCCCCTTCAATATCCAGGAAAGCCGCAAGAGCTATGCTCTTGTTGCTTATTGCGGCCTCAAGTTTCCCCACCAGTTGATGAAGTGCCGTTTCACAGGATTTTCCCGATTGATATGCATGCTGGTTTTTATGTAGTGGCCTTTCAATGAGAAAGTTTTCCCTGATATGCATTTCAATTAACTTCTCCATCACCTTCAACATGAATGATGATAGTGTTATCGGCCTGAACGCCTTAGCCTGAGAGTAATCTCTTCCAGGCTTTGGGATGAAGACGATCCTCGCTCTCTTCCATGCAACCGGAATGTACCCCGTTGCCAGGCTTGCTCTCAATATCCCACAAATAAACGGAGCCAGCTGGTCCTTACCCTGCTGTAGCATTGCAGGGATAATTCCGTCCGGTCCCGGCGCCTTGTAGGATTCAAGAGTTTCTATGACCCACAGCAGTTTACTGTGGTCGACAATCTTCTTCGATACCCGCCAGTCCCCAACAGCAGCCCTCATGTGAGGGTTTAGTGGGTCTGGTAGATTATCGTTTTCAATTTCAACCGAATCTGGCAGATGAGCCCGGAGTAGAATCTCCAGAGTTTCCCTGCCAGTTTCAGTATATCTCCCGTCAGGTTTCATTATATTCCCCATAGGATTGACAGGTGCCTTGGCTAGGATTCGATGGAGGCGTGCTGCTTCAGAGGTTGTTTCCACCTCTCCACAGAAACGCCTCCACGACTCCCTTTTCGCCCTACGGATCTGTTTATTATAATTGGTCAGAGTGATGGAATACTGCCCCCACTCTCCAGTTTTCTTCGCCTTATTGAAAAGTTTGCGTGTTTCTTTTCTTAGCGTTTTAAGTTCTTCGTTCCACCAGCTAACGTCTTTGCTGCTGTTGCGCCTTACCAAAGGACAGTTGTCCTGATATGAGGATATTATTGCCTCCTGCAACTGACAGGAGGCTACCTCTACATCAGTGCCGTTTTTGATAATCTTCTTGACGTTTCCTAGGTTTATTGTTAAGTCCTCTCTGAATTTCTCCCAGTTCGTACCTCTCGGGTTTCGATAGGCTTCTGTCGGGTGTTCAGTATCTGAAATTTCCATACAGATATACCTATGGTCCGACAAGGACGGTTCCTCAGATACACGCCACCGAGTTACCTGAGAGCTTATTCTAGAAGACGCCAGGGTTATGTCAATGATCTCCTTACGAGTTTTGGTAACAAAAGTTGCTTCGTTCCCGCGATTCATTATAACTAAATTCTTAGAAATTATGTAATCTAATAAGAACTCACCCCTTCTGTTTGTGTCACTGCTCCTCCAAGCTGTGCTGTGAGCATTGGCATCAATGCCAAAGATGAGCTGTAGGTTTGAAAGCCTGCAGTACTCCTCTAGCCTCTCCAGTTCTGCTGACGGAGGTGGCCCGATAGAATCGTATGGCAGATACACTGAGGCTATTATGATTTCCGTCCAGATTCCTCCCATACGTATTTTCAGCCTAATTGCTGCCTGGTCCCTAGAACAGAAATCAAGCAGTTTTAGTGCGTGTAGCTCGTTCTTAACGAAAATGCAGGATCTCACATTCCCTGCCGTCAGATCGTATATTACCTTACCCTTGGCTTCTCCCAGTCCTGAGACTCGTCCCCCGTGAATCCAGGGCTCTTGTATCAGGACTATGTCAGCTTCGCCTCGGGACAGGTACCTCACTAAGGCAGCAGCAGCAGAGCACACATACAAACCATATGGGTCACCCTCATTCAAGAATTCTGATGAAATAAGGATCGCCGTCAACTTTCAAGATCTGATTCTTGATATTTCTGAAAGTTACATCTATATCGAGGGAAAATTCACACCAAACGATGCCACTAAAACCTGCTATCTATCTAATAATGCTCTAGCATTCTTATTCGATGAAATACGCTATGAAATGGGTGGCGAACAAGTATGCATGGTACGAAAACCAGGCATCACTACTACCATGAAGAGTATGATTTCTTATGGAGAGAGTAATATGAAATTCCTAGAGACAATTGGATGGGGCCTTGATGGTGGCAAGCAGGTGCTTCTAGATAAAGCTAGCAACGTTTTTAGCGGCAAACTACCCCTTAAATATCTCATGGGGTTTGCCGAAGATTATTGTAGAGGTATTTTGAATATCAAACAGGAGCTAATACTCATCATAGCTCGCTCATTCAAGAACTCATATATTGGGGAAGTGGACGCCGATGTGGAGATTAACAAAATTGAGTGGAAGATAAGACATGTGATGCCATCAGATAAGCAGAAATTGAAGCTATTGACCCGTTTGAATAGAAGTTCTACGGCAAAAGTGAAAATTGCATACAGGATGTGGGATCTGTATGAGTTACCGACTATTCGTGAAACAGCATCTGACATTTGGGCCGTTAAAACTACCAATAGCCTCGAGCGGCCTCGATATATCATCATTGGATTCCAAAACACTGATAACACTGATAATAGATCTGAGGATATCACACAATTCACCCATGCAGGAGTGAGCAATATTCGCCTGTATTTGAATTCCGAAGTTTATCCATACGAGCGATGGAATTTGGATTTCGATAAGAAATTAGATGCAGTAGCCTATTATGCATATGACAACTTCCAACGTAGTTACTACGGCAAAGACATGAGCGAACCAATGATGAGCATCGAGGAATTCCGAAAAAACCCACTATTCATCATTGACTGCAACCACCAACCCGATGCGATGAAATCCTCCACTGTCGACATCAAGTTGGAATTTGAAACACGAAAAACGAAGTTTCCATCGCACACCAAAGTTTACGCACTTATTCTTCATGATGCATATTTAACTTATAGTGCACTGGATGGTTCCATACAGATGGGTGCTTTATAGACATTGAATGTATCATGTTCATGTTAATAATAACGGCCATTTCGAGATTGATTTATATATTTGATATCATAGTTATTGTTCTAGAATCCGTTGTTGTTATACTGAATAAAACGAATATGTACCATATTTATTGTTTTATTTCTATACATATACATTAACAATTATAGTACCCATACATCTTATAAGTATTCAGAGGTTGAAGTAGCCGTTGTGTGGAGATTTAATGCAGAATTATAAGCTTTTTTCTTCTTCTTGTCCTTCTTCTTCTTCTTCTAAATCAGACACCTCTGGAGTTATTCCAATGCTATATTTCCGGACGAGATGGTTCGGCAAAAAATCGGAAATTTCATACAGGAATTGCACTAAGTCCTCTTCAACCATGGCTTCAACAAATTCCTCTACATTGATGTTATTATACTCGAAACGGGCGCAGAGTAGGAACCCCAATTTGTATTGCTCAGCTTGCTTGCAGAGGTTCTGAACCTGTTTTTGATCAAAGCACACACTCGTGTCATAATTAGCTGCATGCATTGCGTCCTGCTCTAAATCGGCAAACTGACATTTCAGCCTCCTCACACTCGACTTGATATCTTCCGCTACCGGCCAAGATTGACTGGAATAATGCATCCACATATTGCACATCTATTGAGGTGAATTATCCTGCAACATAAATGGAAAAAATACTTAGGTCACGAGTGAATGAGTTAAAGAATTGATCATTAATCGAATTATATATCTGTAGCACCACTCACCTATACAAATTCAACCTTCATCAGAGTGTGATATAATAGGTTATATATAATATGTAAGGATTATCATATAGTATTCAAACCCATTTACACTACACTAAACGTGGCTGATGCATCCCTATGATTAAATTAATTTTCCTATATACTATGAAATGACCTTTACATTTTTTTCACATCGAATTTCATGAGAGCTCTCGTCTTTGCACCCGCGAATAGAGGCTCACTCTGTCCCAAGTATGTTAAAGTGTAAAGACCGTTGGAAGAATTTATCTCATCAATATCGCTCTCCATAAATTTGTCAACAACTCTTTTTGGTAACCAAGTTTTCAAACTCACTTCGGTCTCTTCATCATATAAGTACAGTACCACTCCTACCGAATCTGGTTCCGCATAATGAGATTTTCTTGATAATATAGCTTTTATTGAGGGGTAGTGATGATATCAAAATTTGCTTTACAATTTCATTCTCCTCATTAATTTTATCATTAATTGAAGCTAAATCGATTTTGGGGGCAGCCATTATTTTCGTCCAAGTGAAAGGGGTGTGAATAATATATGAATAAGCGTACTTACATAAAACAGATAACCTTTTATCACACTCAAACTTTCCCAACTTAATTGAGCAGAAGCAATGTTCAATGTTATTGCAAGAACTATGCTTGTGCATGTGGCGGATTTCGTATTTATAGAAACGCAAACAACCCCCACTATAGCGATGTGATGCGCGAAAGTGTCTTCAACTTCGAACACGCTTTCAAGGCCTCACTCTCTCTACAACTCAATGTCACTCACTCTCAAGGTCGCACATGCGGAGGTTCACTCCCACCCAAGGTCGCTTCCGCCCAATGCCACTCTTGCCTCAAGGCAACTCTTGCCCCAAGGTCACTCCGCCCAAGGTCACTTCCTCCCAAGACCACTCCTGTTCCAAGGTCACTTCCGTCCAAGGCCACTTCTGCATCAAGGTCACTCCTACTCAAGGTCACTACCGCCCAAGGTCACTCCTGCTCCAAGGTCACTCCTGCTCCAAGGTCACTCCGCCCAAGGTCACTCCCGCCCAAGGTCACTCCGCCCAAGGTCAGAGGAGAGTGACCTCGGGCGGAGAGTCAGAAACGGCTAATCTTATCTACTTACTTTCTTTCAAATTCATGCGAAGCAAATGATATCAGAAATTGCTAATGCATACTACATAGGCATTCGCACCAACTTACGTATGAAATGTTTCAATATTGATTGATCAGCACCACATACACCACTGTTTTTCTGAGAACAGTCCGAATGTTGTATACTATATGGCATTGTCTGCTAAATAGAGAAAAAATCTAGTGAGCTGGAATTTCTGGTCTTCCCAATAGCTCAGTTGAGTGTAGGACCGCTAGAGGATGTTACCGTATCGTACGATATGATCGTCACTTTTTTCTAGAAAAATTTCGAAATTTGTGGTTATGTAAGTTGTCACTGGTTGTCAGTGTCAAGAGCTGTCATGCCATCGTGACTTGTTTTGAATTTTTTTCTAAAATATCATTCTTTTTCAATTCTCATTGTTCTAATATTCCTTTCGTTTATAGATATAGTTTTGTGTTGTGCTCCCAGTATTATAGTAGTTTATTCTGATTATCAATGTGTAACAAACTCTGTCTCCTCCTATTGTGCCTACCAGAAATTGTGAAATCATCTCCATTCCTGGATTTCCAAGTGATATTTCTTTGCGACAAAGTAGATAGTGTGGATACATTCGATATTGAGTGTTACAGGATCATCACAAGTAAGGAAATCAGAGCCCTGATCAAATGCTAATAATCGATACTTCCGATTCTACCACTCATTTACTTTGGGTGCTACAAGTTCCAAAATTGAGAAATTGTAATGTCGGTAACAACCATTTTGAGAAGGAATGATTTAAGGTGACAAAACACGGGAAAAAGTTGCTTAGAAAAGGATCAATCCACTGGAATTTTTAGGGTAAGTGTAGATTTAATATTGATATGATGAATGAATGTGGAAGAACAGGTTGGGTTCTCCTTCGGGCCAGCAGGAAGAAGTTTCTCACAGTCATTGAGCAATGAGCATATGTAATCTCCCAACGTGAATATCAATTTGTTTGGTTTATGGATATTAGTTTTGTATGATTTCACATAGGTATTAGCTTCTCACTTAATTATTGAGTACTATGATAGACTATGATGATACATTATACCTATTATATGAAAATTATTTTTAGAAACCTACTGATGCCTGGGTGACTCCATCATCATGTAAGCAGATGTGTGTGATGAATTCTTCACTCAACTAATGAAATTTGCTCATCTCAAGATAAGATATTTATTTGCCTGCAAACTACAAAATCAGTACATATAAACAGGTAGAACACTGATTTCAAAAACTTATTACACATAAGGTTTGTATACAGTGAGTCTGATAAATTAAATGCTCTTATTGTAAAGATAGTGTTAAAAATGTGGCAAATTGAAAATGAAAATTGATCTGTTATTCTAGGATATTCCTCAGAAATGGATAGTTTGACTAAAAATCAATTCATTCAGTTCTTTGCGAAAGCACTCTGTATTGCTGAATGTTGTGTTTAGTTAATTTTCTATCAGAACATTATACTTGGTTCTTGTAAATTTTTTTCTCAATATCTGATTCTATATAATGTACAGGGTGTTAGTGAATGAGTGTGATGAACTGATAATCTATACAGGGGGTGATACCTTGTGATATATTTTAGGAAATAAAAGTCATATAAACATGTGTCCATGCTTTGAATATGCTTCGTTTTCCAGATACAGGGTATTAATAGTTCCATGAAAAATCGATTTTTATTTGCCTACTGGAATGTCTCAATCAATTCCAATGAAACTTGGTGGTTTGGATGATAGTAACTTGGAACTTCTTGTGGTGTAATCAGATTCAAAATAATTTTTCCAGGGCGTCACATTGGGGTAATTGATTGATATTTATGACCACTGGTTTTTATGATTTCCATATATTCATTGATTGAATGACAATGTTCTTATCTGTTATTTTGTATCTCCCTTAGTTTTTGAGGAAACAATGAAAATTCAATTGCTCATTGAGCATACTTAACAACCTCAATAAGAAATATTTTGTGACTTTGTTGGTCACCAAAGCATACGGAATTTGCACCATGCAAGCTTATAAATTGATAAATAAAAACCATACTTCCTACTTCAACATCCATTATCTCAAAAGGTTAGGACATCATCATGTTTATATGAACTTCATTTAATAAAATATCACATGGAATCACCCTCTGAAGTTTTCTTCACAACTATTCACAAACACCATATATATTATAGGTATCTGTATTTGGTTTATATTATAAACTATGAAAATATTACATAAATAAAAAAACATACTTTCACTTACTGTTCACTTCCAGGATGACGGTGATGCAAGTGGTGAATATCAAAATAATTGATCACTGGATATCAAAACGGTGATAATTATGAATAATCTTTGGTAAGAGTCCAAATTGCTGAAAGTGGAGTGGAAATTTTCAAAGGAAGGAAGGAATGCTCAAAGTCATCTCCACAAATGTTAATGACGTTGTTATACAATCAGGAACATGTTTCATTCTTAGAAAATACCATCCTCAGCCTAAGCCCCTAGTAGATATTTTATTACTAGAGTCCATCTTTAGCCTAAGCCTCTTGAAGAATTTTCATTAGACTGAAAGATGGCATTTTCTAAGAAAATACTATCTTCAGGCTAAGTCCCTTGTAGATATTTCATTACTAAAGACCATCTCCAGCCTAAGCCTAAATTAAGTAACACCCCTCCTCTTTACTTTTTGATGCTTAAAAAATGTGTCAAATCTAATTTTTGGTAGTAACCTTTGAAAAACTTTCATTGAGTCTGGATGCTTTATTGAAATATTTTCTCAATGGCATGTGAGATTTAAATATGAATTTTCAACACCCATTGATTCTCTAGTGGGAGGGTTACTTTATGGACTATGGACAGACCATGTATATATTCAAAAGCAGATTTATTACTGATTTTGTTATCACATATTTCATGAAGCATCAGTTTCTACGAAATGTTGGGTGGTTCATAAATTATATTTTGGCCTAAATAACTTGAAAAACGTGTTGTTCTCTGCTCCA